TTACTATTTCTATTTCTGTTTCTGTTTTGGTTCTGAATCCGAATCTGAATCTAGCAATTAACATTCTGGCTGAGTTTGAGTTTCGGATTTGATTCGTTGATTGCCCTGTGAAATAATTAATTTATGCGTGCATTAACCGTTACTGGATAATGAGAACGCGGAGTGGGGGCCTTATCTCCTCTTTCAGAGCCGATTAAGTTCAAGTCTTCAAGTGCGGATGGAGCATGGGTGTGCCGGAAAGTGCGAAGGGGGAGGGGCCTTTGGAAAGGGGGATCTCGCGTCTTGTAATTATGAACCGGACCAGACGAGTACAGTGCGTTTCGGGGTTAAGTAATGGACGAGATTTTGTTTCACTTTCTTAAGTCATAAAGATATAAGAAGGTAATATTTAAGAAAGTATTTAGTTTACTAAAAATATTATTATTATGTTGAAAGGATTGCTAAAATGTACTTCAATCTTTATTAAACCTGAAACTTTGTTATAGTTGATATAAAAAAGCAGAAGATATCAATATACAATAAATTACATCTCTACTTTTCTGTTAAATCGACTCTCCATATTCAGTTACATCAATCTTATCGGCTTGCAACGCACTGTACGTGCACACATGCCCGTAGCCATACTCATTGTGATTAATTGTCAACATTAGCGGTGTGGCAATGTGGATATAATTTTACTTGGGCTCAAGCAACTATCCACAAAGGGCGTAACTTTCGGTATGGGGGAGTTCAGACGGAATGGTAAATGGGGAAAAAGGAAAGGGAAAGGGAAAGTTCGGAACAAACCAGACTAAATGAAGATTTACGTTCCGCAGCCGACTTGGATATTTATGGTGCCAGAGCCAAGGAAGTGGAACAACGTCTGGAGACGGACTCTTTTGGCTAAGTTTTTTCCTGCCACTCGCTGATCGTAATGAGCTTTAATTATCCCATTATAATTGGAATGAGTACGGGACAGGGAGTGACTCACTGGAATGGAAGCCGTGCTGTACTTAGTAATTAGGGTTTGAGAATGGTTTGCCTGTGATTTTAAAAGGGTTTATTATTGGAAAAGCTATGATATAGAGTGATGTAAGCTGTGGTTCACGTTCAGAATAAGAACTATATACCCCAAGAAAGTATTTCCATTTCAAAGTAACTCAAAAACAAAATCAATGACTAATCAAAATGCTGATTTAATAAAGAGTAACCAAGATTTATAGCTGCAGAGATCCTCCTTCTTTACCTTTTCCACCGAAGACTTCAAACTGCAGCTCAGCAGTGTGGTCCAATTATAATAATTCTTCCGATCGTTCCAATTAAGTAATAAACCACCAGTCTACCATTAATTTCTGTGAGAGTGGGAGGTAAGGCATCCGGGGAAAAATCAACAGAAGCCAAAAGTTCTTTTCTTGGTTTTGAAGAAGCGATGAGACAATGGCAACTCATCATCATCATCGAGTGACCACAATCATAATTTCTTTCCAAGAAATCAGCATAGGTCGCCAGACCAGACTTGCTATCCAGCGCCGCCAATGATTGCCCAGGGGCGTCGATCTTCGAAAGGGGGTTGGCTGCCAAGAGGGATCGTTGTCTCGTCGTTCATTCGTTCGATTGAATCAAGACCCCGGCGACGACCCCAGACAAGCAGCTAAATATACTTGTAATCGACGGGAGAAAAAGAAAAAAATGAAGTGGAGGCAGAAAGTTGCGTAGGATCTGCAAGATCAAGCCCAGACAATGCAGCTGCACCATCATGCCACCCCGATCTGTAACCCCCACCTCCCCCTCCCGAGCCAACGCCTTCTGTTTCATCACACCCATTTGGTTGTTTTGATTTCTTTATGTTTTTTTGATAAACTCTGCTCATCATGTAATTTTAAACGCGCTGCGCATGTTAAGCAAACAATTTCCCGTGACAGTGTAAAATGTGCTTTAGGGGGTTGAGGATGAGGTGAAGGTGCATTGAGGGAAATACTTAGTTAATTAACAAATAAATTTATAATATTTAAATCATATTGGAAAAGGGAAACTTATGCTTATTATGTTGTTTTTCACTGAAAAGTAATTCTAAAGAGAATTTTCTTTCTAAATAATGATAAACATTTCTCGAAGTGTAGTGCCTAACTAAGCTAAAGGGTCGACCAGTCGTCTGCGGGCCCTCTAGCGACCATTACAACATGACTCGCAAAGAAAGCGAGTGTTGAATGCAACTTTTATTTAATGTTTTTATCTCTCTCTCCCTCTCCCTCCCCTCCCTCTCTCTGTCATAACTTTTTTTTCTTATGGAAAGTCTTTTGGCCCGAAGGCAGGCCTAGGCCAAAAGAATCGTGTTGATGGATTTCTTCCTGTCGTAAATGTTGTAAGCAAAAGATATGTCCAAAACGCTCAACATTGCTCTGGGGCCTCCATTTCCCCAAGTCTCCCTCTCTCCCTAATGGAAGTGGTTGGCTGTGTCTTTAAGTTTTTCCTACTCATTTTTCTGCCGTTTTGACTTATCATTCAAGATGCGTTTTTGGCCTGGCTGGATCTGTGGATGTGCAAATATTTAGGCCTCTGGCAGCTACAAGATGGTGGTGTTGCCACAATTATTAAGTGTGGGAGAGTTCTTATAGATAGAATGGTATTTGAATCGGATAGTAAGTAATTAGATTCGGGAGGTGGCAAAAAATATGTGGGAAATATGTCATTATGAAATATTAAGGTCAAATTGCAACTTACGGTACAGAAAAGTTCCAATGATAAATCAAATTGATAGATTTACTAGAACAATCCCATATGAAGAAATCGCTTTCTTTATATTTTCCTGAAATTTCCTCACATTCCTTCTGATTCCTGTTTATTTTTCTTGACTTTCTCAGACTTTTCAAAACAGACCCCATTCGATATGTAGGCGAGTCGATCCGTCATGTCGACAGCATTTTAAAGTCAACTAAACCATATGTCTTCATCGGGTTTTATCATCGATTTTGTATGATCTTCCCCTCTTTCTCTTTCTGTGAAGTTTTGAGCTTGTTTTGGTTTTCTTGTTTTCTTGGGGCTTGCTCTTCCTATACACAGGAAAAGAAAGTTCTTATTTTAAGGATAAGTTTATAATTTTCCTTTTCTCGAAATCACTTTGACTATATATCTAACTAGATAAAATTTTATATTTAAATAATATTTATTAGAGATCTTTCAAATTAAACTAATGAAGAGTATTAAAACGTGGGCCTGCCCCTTCAAATTATTTATAGTCTTTGTGACGCTTGATTTCTAGTCCCAGCTGTTGGCATGTTGTAATTTGAATAAACAAATTGTTGTTGTTCTTGCGGCTGCTGCTTGTTTTTGCTGGATTTTTCCTTCTTTTTTTTTGATAAGAACTGAAATGTGCCGCAGAAGATTGCGAGACCTCGATTCTTTGTCTTGTGGAGGCATTATCAGTGCCGATTGCTAAATGTCAAACCAAAGCAGTTCCGGCTTAATATCAATTTAATTAATGAATTATGTTTATTTAGTGGATTTAACTTAACCTTTTGGAGTTTTCCACGCTGTTGCTGTGTTTTGACTCTTCAAGATCACTGAATTTCCTTGGAAAATGGCAATTTATCGTTAGCCGTGGGGTGGAATTCGAATTCGATCGGTGGGTGTTTCTTGGGGGAAGGCCAATCAACCTCGTAATAATGCAATTTCAATGGCCAGCGGTCGAATGCGGGTCTCTTTTCATGTTTCAAGTTGCAAGTTTCATGTTTCGCATTTTATCCCCTCAAATGGCCAAGTAATGAGCTGTCATTACGCACACCCATGAGGGTGGTTTCTCCGGAGATTGCGGCATGCAACATGATCGATCTGTTTAATTGTAATTCATATTTAATGTGGGCTTTGTCGTGTTTGTTGTGGTTTCTTGGGTGGATTGGGAAATTGACTGCAGGGGTGGAACTTCTAACGGGGGAGTTTCTGGGAACTGCCACAGATGAAGGATGCCCATATGGCAAATGACAGAGAGAAAAAGCCAATTTAATAATGGAAATAAATAGGTCCTTAATAATGTTTATTTAGTTAAATAATAACTATTAATATTTGTTGTTAAGATTTTGCAAATTTGGCCCACTGTGCACTGTTCTCAATGCCGCATCGCTTGCAACAACAGCAAAAGTAAACCCGCCAATAGCAAAGGCAACAACAATAAACAAAAACACACAGACCTCTCGTTTATTTTTTTATCTCTCTGAGTTTACTTTGCGCTCTCTATTACATTCTGGTGCTCTCTTTGTATTTGCCACGCAGCATTATGTTGTTGCTTGAGAGTGGTGCCAATATTTTAGCGGTAATAAGCGAGGAGGCTAATAAGAAAAGGCTAGCATAAAAACGTTTATTTAAAAGTCACAATACATATTTTAAATTTACTTAAAGTATAATATCTTTATACTAAACTAAGTTTCCCATTACAATATAGCAATTAATAGCATAACAATCCTTATTAATTTACCTAATTTTTATTACTCGCCAAACTGTCGCATCACTGTTGCTTGGGGTGCGTTTGTTTTCTGGTTTTGCTTTGCAGCTGCTCAAATTCGGTTTTTGCTTTTGCCTTTCATTCGTTCAAATTATCGCGCTTGTGCGAAGCCCGTTCTCTTCTCTTTTAATGCGAACGCTTCGATGTTTGTTTCGAACTTGTTCACTCGCTCTCTCTCGCATGCTCGATACTCTATAGCTGTACAGTGGGGTGTATCAAAATCCTGCGTAATCTTAAGTGAGCCGTGCAAATGTATTATAAGTGTATTATACAGAATTTTTTCTTTAAAAAATAAAAAGAGGTAAAAATATTTGAATGAAAATATAAAAATTGTTTTTAACATATTGGGATCCAATTATGTTATTATTTTTTTGTTACTCCACTGTGCGATGTCGGTGAGAGGTTCGAACTCTTGCGTATGGAACAAAAGAGAAGAGAGACCGAAATAAAGTAAGAGATGGGTGACCGAACGACGAACTGGCTTCGACTTTGTTAGTCAAACACAATACAATACAGTTGGGTTTCCAACTCGGCCGGGAAAAGTTCGGGCAAATTTCAAGAAGCGGCTCTAGACAGCTAAATTGTTGAAAATACAGTCCAAGAAATCGCAGTCCATTGGCAATTCTCATGTTTAAACAAACAAAAAAGTGAAACATAAAAATTTAAAAATCGGAATTCTGACTTTATTGATAAATTCAGCAATATCCGTCAAGCGAAAATACAAGACAAAAAATAAAAACGGACGAGTTGGAAAAAACCAGCGGAGGTTCAATATTTTTTCTGTTCGGGCGTATTGTTTGAGTCTCGTTTTTGGAGAACTGCAGGCGTTCAAAACACGGAATCGAAATCGAATAATAAATAAAAATAAAATCTAAAACTCGCGAGTCAAAAGTGTAATTCGTCGCAGCAACGGTAAATCAAAAGGCAATCGCGATTTTTGTTGAATGAATGGAATAGCAAGCAAACACAAATCCCGCTAAATTAATCAAATTCAATTGCAAGTTATTGTAACCACTTAAATCGTAATAATTAGCATTGCAGAAAAATAAATGCTAAAGTGTTTAACAGTTTAACAAAAAGCTAACAAAGAAATAACAGGAAATTCGGTGATTTGGTGTGCAATAAGTTGAGAAAACCAGAAACCAAAACAGAGAGCTCCGGAGATTAAAGACGAAAGAAGGTACGAATTATATGTGAATTTTGGTCTGTCATAAAGGTATACACATTCGTGGAGTTTTCTGTTCCCCCCAACCACGCGAGAAAGCAACAATAATGCGAGAGCTGTGAGAGATCTATGTACAAAACTCCAAAAACGAAGTTTTTTTTATGTCGCAAACGAGAGAGAGAGCAAGAGATTGAGAGAGCAAGAGAGAGTTGTGCAGCATCAAGGATGCGAATTTGAGAGTGTGTGTACGTGTGCGTGCACGAGAACTTTTGCAATAATGTCCTTGGCAATAAATAGAAGTTGAGAGCGGCGAAACCATTGAAATCTGAGCACAGAAGTAACGGAAATCAGAAAAGGGGTATTGGATAGTTAAGGGATAAATGGGATAAAGGTAAAAAAATGGAATTTCAATTGAAGAGAACAATATGAATGGACATTAAGGAAGTAAATGAGTGGAGAGTTTCAAAGTAGGGAAGTTGGAGAGGTACTTAACTTTTGAGTATGGGAAATGCTTATCAAATTACTTGATGTGGAAAGGTTTTTTGTTATATTAGAAATATATTATAAAATCTTAAAAAATATATTATAATCTTTATTATTTTGTTTTATTTGTTATTCTTCTTACATTGAAAGTATCACTAAAAGAAACAACCGAAGCAGAAACTTCTAAGAAACCGAAACCTAAATAATTTTGTTGTTTATAAAAATCCACGTGTGATTACTCAGATAAGTTTCGTATTAGCTTACTTTATAACAAACACAAAACCTCCCCATATGACAGTGAATTGTTTTTATTTTTACTTTGTTAGCAAACCCATAATCTTTAATAGCGATCTCAGCTGATGCTGATTATTTCATTTAAAACAATATAAATTAATTCTGTTTTACATATTCGCCGAGTACATTGACATTAAGTGTAAATTATCGCCTGAATTAATGTACAATCATGCGCTGAAATTAGTATTATATCACACTTTTTGACAAATTTCCGCTAATCTCTCTTAAAAAGCGCTCCCCGAGTGTTTATAAACAAAAAGTTTATAATTCATCGGCCGGCAGATGAGATTATTTTTTAGAATGAGAGAATTTTGTAGTATATGATGACACCTGTTATCAAATGTGAGGAAATCTATGAAGCTTTTTGCTATTTTGTAGAGATTTCTAAACCATTAGATACATATATGAACTTAAAACGCCATGTAAATGATATTTTTAAAAGCTAATATCGATTTTATGACCTTTTGCTCTGAGTAGATACTCAAAGATTCTGCTCGAGGATAGGCATAAACGGATTTCGTATTCTAATTTTGTATTTTCTTGCCTCTGCCTTTTCAAAGTCAAACATATTTCAAGAACAATCAATATGTGGAAACCAAAACAGAGACTAAAAAACAGAAGAACTTTGTAGAGCAGACTAGTTTCTAATGCCAAACCAATTTGTGGCGCTAAATAAAGATAAAAACCGACCAAAAGCTTGTCAATCAAAAACTCAGATTGAGATACCAAGGGGGTAGTGAAATTTCTTGCATCTTTCAGATACTTTCCACAGCGTTTGTTACCCTAGGGCCGGCTGCTAATCAACGTGCTGTTGTCTCGGCTCTCTTAACCATTGTTATTAATCTTTTCGGTTTTTGTTAATCATTTCCAAGAGTGCTTGTTTTCGGTTAGAGTCTCTTGGCCTGCATACAATTTGCAACACGTTTTGTGGCGTTTTGTTTTGCTTTCAGCTTTCCATTTCACTCAAGCAATGTTCTGTGTTGGCCCGCAGCCCCGAAAAACCCATCCACTTCGGGTTCCGAAACTCATCTTTCATTTCCATGAGAAGGTTATCGGAATGATCTTTACATTTCAGCATTCGAAAGTTTACTTTGGGTGCTAATTGGTCTCGAGAAACGCAATTAATTAAATTCAAACGCTCAAGGCAAAGGAAATCTTTTGGTATTTCGAAAATTTGGTAGCCAAATAGTTTTGAAGGCTGAAAGCTAAATGATTAAAGATCTCTTTAGTTTATAAATTAGTAGGCAGGGGGAATGGCAATCACTGTCTGTGCCTTCTTAACTCCAATTTCCATATTTATAAATATTTACTTGACAAAGAAGCAGAACTCATCAGCCTATGCAAATTCAGGGCAGAAAATTAAATGGATTTTTTGCGACGAAAGCCTCCTCAGAAATTCTAATGAAATTCACTCACAGCGACACAATTATGCGATGCCCTCAGGTGTGATTCGGTTTGTTCCTACGCCGAGCAGCAAAATTTGCATATGGATCTTCGTCAGTCGGCCTGGGGTGAAGTGTCATAACGAAAGAAAAAAGAGTAACCCATATTGGCCCCACAAGGGGTTTCCTAACGGACCCTAAAATGTTATTATTATAAGTATTTATTTTGCAGTTTTCTTCATTGTTTACCTTGTTTTGCGCAATTTTTTATTATGAAGTGCCCAAAAGTTTATGCGGCGGCCTCGTCTCAAGAGAAGTCAAGTTAGTTTTTTCCATATATATTTTTTTTTGGGTCTGCTCAAATAAGCAGCGATGAAAGAGCCGTTAGGTGACCCCAACCAACCAACCCTCGAGGGGCCAAACCAATTTGCATGAAATGTGGCAATAAAGAAAAAGAAAAACTATCAAACTGAAAATGCTGAGTGGCTGTTAAGAACGAAGAATAAGTGAAGCATCTAAGAAGAGATGTAGGTGGAAAGTTTACACATTGGATTAGGTCTCAACCTATTCGATCTTTTTCAATATTTACAAAAATATCTAAGATTTTCTAATATCCTATACTAGTTTATGTTGTTTATGTTGAAATCAAATACAGACCTACCCGAAGAATGTTTATTTTTTGGGTCATTGCCTCAATCTGATGTTTCCAAACTAAGTCGAGCACTCGAAACAAATATAGCCCCTTGAATAAACAAGAAAAATTCCATTCTTAGATACTCGACTCTCAAGTACAAACTGTTAAGTCTTTATACCTCTAAAAACACACACCCTTGTTATTATCAAAATGAAAACCCAAAACTCAAAGTTCTATCTGCCATATAACAGTTTATTATCGGTAATTTGATAGACTACTGAAAGTAACATAAAGAAAAACGATATTTGTAGTCAGGGAATGATTGAACTTGACGATATAGCAGATAACCAAAGTCTTATCAACCAACTTTATAGTCCCAACATGGCAAAAAACCCGATTCAGATTAAGGTTTCTACGTCATTGATGAGAAATCAGGTTTGTTATCAACTCAAGCCAAGAAAGCTGGAGGCAAAGTCTTTACGAACTTCTGCCTAAATTTGGTGACAAATTTTATGATTCCACGTAATTTTAAGATGAATCTTATGAGAAAACCCCAAACGGAAAAGAGCAGGTGTCCGACGAGAGACTCTCTGATCAGCTGATTATTTAACAAAAACTTGTGCTGAGAGCCTCACGCAAAAAGTAATAGGTTTTGTTTTTTTCTATTGTTAAATTTAGCATTGAGAAATGCGAGAGAGAAGTGCGTCACAGTTCTCTGAGAATTTAGTATAGAAAAGATTTGCATATTATAAATGCTAAGCGCGTCGCTTTTCTATGTATTTATAGGGTTTCTTGATCTAGCCTAAGCTCAGAAAACTACTGGAAAGAATCAGCTGATTGTTGCTATACGAGTACGTCTGAAAAACGTGCTACTTCCGTGCTAAATTCTCTCTGCCTTCTTATTCAAAAGCACTCAATGTTCTTATCGGTGCTGAAATATTATCAACTTATAGTTTTTCTTTATCTCGAAGCTTGATAACGATAAACAAAACAGAAACATTTTGTTAATTGCTAGTAGCATGTGTCGCTGTTTTGTAGGTGAATATTTTATGTGATCGAGAAACAGGCTATGTAAATTTAATGCTTAATTTGCATGAAATGTATAGGAAAGATTAGAAAGATAAACGGGGCAGATAACCATTGATAAATGCTAATGGTTGTGTTCCAATTCTTCTTTTAAACTTATGCATTCGGTTCTAGGTTTAAGTGCAACACGTGACTTGATTACTGTAGATCTGAGTTAAATAATGAAAATGGCATTTCCTTTAGCACTTCAATACTTTGTTAAAACAATTAATCACAAATTACTTAGAACCAGCTCTTAATTTCCCTTTTCCCGTCTTCTATTTGCAGTTTCGGTGAGTCAATCAGTCTATTCAACAGTGATTAAGATGGAATAAAAGTTAAAAACCTTTTAGAAAGGTAAGCAATGGGATGCAATTTAAATCAAAGTATTTGTCCTATTTTCTCTTAAATGAGTTAGCTCCCTTGATTTCCCGCCCACTCAACAAAATTCTAAAGCACAGAAAACCTTCTCTAGGCCAATTTCCGAACTGGCAAACAATTAAGCCAGCCTACGTCAGTCTCCATTTCAGTTGAGCCCAGCTTTTGACACCTTCAATTGAAATTGATTATGAAGACGACATCATCCACGCACTTATTTAATTAACGAAAGTCTTTGACTTGACAACCAATTATGTTTTAGCACGTTTAAGTGTCTAAATCTCAATGTTAAACTTATATTTTCATAAAAGATTTCGAGGAATTTTCCCCAATGCTAAATGGCAAATAGGGAAAGGAGACCTTCGATGGACTTTCCATGTTGAAAAGCCACACATTTTTCGTAGGTGGTGGCAGCAACTGTTGATGAACTACTTCAAGTGCACTGCCGGCTGAGTGGGCGTAAAGACATAGGCAAATGGCCAACAAGATTTGCGTGCTTGAGGCCAGTATTATTTTTTTTATAGAAGAAACATACACATGTTTGTAGTTTTATAATTGTCGCCAAGATCTTTGTTTTGTGATGTTGCTGGCTGGCTTCTGCCTTTGTAATCGAGACCACGCAAAGACATTCAATATGTTGACTCAATGAGAATTCGTTTTCTTTTTGTCATCGGAAATTGGGTCTTGGTCGTGAGAGAAATACGCACGAGGGCGTAACGCACTTGCTGATGAGTAAAAACTCTGCGTCAAGTACTTTGGATACTTTGGTTTTCAATCTCATTTAGTTCTCAGAGTTACTCACTTGCCTGATAACTGGGTCAAGTCTGAATCGTTTTTCTGTTTGTGTTTTTGTATTTCTGCATTAGAAAAAGTGAAATCGCAAAAAGTTTTTAAAAGGTGTTATTAAGTCTTAATCATCGTCGACGCTTTGATTTATTTTCCCTCTCTATTCCTAATTATCACTTACACTTTTGTCGTAAGATTCTTTGTAATTAGTCGCTTGTGATTTGCATTTTCTCCCTGTCGTAATTACTGTTTAATTATTAATTTATTTGTGTTTTTTTCTAATGTTAACACCTTGGCCAGATAGTAAGGCTGATTGGCATTGGTTTCTGTCTAGACGGGGCGAGGAACCGAACTTCATTAGTTCAGGTGAAACTTTTCAAAGACTCGTTAAAAGTTTCGTTCAACCTTAGCATAAAAATAATCAAGAAACATGTTTAATTAGTATTTATGTTTTTTTTTTTTGGCATTTTTAAAAACAATATGATTGAAAGTTATGTTTATTTTTTACTGCCTTTCTTAGTTTTTCCTTTGATTTTCCTTGTAGTTTTTTCAAATTAGCATTAGCCATAAAGTGCGGTCTCAGGCCCAAGTTTGCTTGGCTGAAAAGATTACACAACCTGCTCAAACACTCGACGAGGCGTTATCGATGGTTGTGGGGCAGGTGGCAGGGGGGCAGTGGGCTGCCCACTGGCAAACAAGAGAGAGACGCCTAATTAAGTTTTATTTTTCCTCCAACGAATTTTGTCAAAGAATATGGAAATGGCGGCTAATTGAAAAAATTGCATATTTTAAGCCAGGTTAGTGGGCTGGCATCGGATATGGATTGGATTTTCTCAACCAGATTCCAGAAAGTGTAGTTGGTATTTCCAAAGAGTAGAGGAACCATGACTCAGCTCTGTGATTTGATTAGCTGCTTGTTGAATTAAACTCCATTCATCTCTTCTCTTAATTAATTGAAATTTTAAATTCATTTTTTTTTTGGGGGTACCAAATTAAGTTTAATTATAACTGACAGAAATGAAAATGAAGTTTCTGGACTGACCCAAAACTGCAATTAAAAAGAAACCTGAAAAAGAAGAAATTTTCATAATTTATCATTTGCAGGCAGTGCGTATCATATGTATATGGTCATTCTTAAATTGATCAAAAAATATATAAAATATATTTTTAATGTTTTAACTTATTAAAGAAAGTGATTTGTTACTTGGAAATATTTAATATAGATTTTAAATATCTAAAACGAGTTCAATCTTTATGATACGCACTGTTTGTATACTTTCTTCCTCTGTACACTCATCCATAAACTTAAAAAAAAAACAGTGTTCCGTTAGCTTCCTCTTCATAACTGCTTCCCCCAGCCCTGCGGTCACCAGCAGATACGATCATCACATTTCATCACCCACAAGAACCCAACCGCTTTCATCTCCCTGGCGATCTCTGACTAAGACCTGGGACTTGTATTAATGCCTCGGAGATTATGCCATGACAACAACATCTGAGTATATATCGTTTACCGTTTAAACCAGGCGAAGACGAAGATGTTTATGCACTTGAACGCCATAACAAAAGTTGGTTCTTCAACCGCAAAATAATGAGTTGCAGGCAGCACCAAAAAAGCAAAAACAAAAACAGAACAAAGACAAGCCCCGAGAATTTAATCATTTCGTTACCCGCAGACCAGGCCAAAACAAAAACAAAAAAAAAAAGACGGTGTCTTCGAGCAGCGTTTTGGGTCAAGTCGAATCCAACCGCACCCGCTCGCCAAATGGGCTCATTGGACTCGTTGGACTCATGGACTCCTTGGTCAACCAGCCAAGCCACTTGACGGCTGTCTGCATCCTGTGTGTGCGCTGGGCATATTGAGTTTCTTGGGGCTTGTGGACCCGGGTTAACAGCTGGGCTGGAAACCAGTTTAGATTTTTAACTTGTACTACGGCAGCTGTAAACAATCAGAGCTAACTGCCTGCCAGGCACTCAGCCATGAAAAATGAATGATGATAATGATGGTCAAGTCAACTGTTTCCAACAGGGGAAACTGTGTTCTTCTCTGCTCAGACCTCCTCAGTCATTGACCAAAAGGCCCGAGCCTCTACCGAAGCTCCTGGATTTTGTTTTGTTTTTTTTTTTTTTTTTTTGAGTTGCTCTTTCCAAGCCGGAGAAACTCGATTTTGTATCTACCCCAAAAGTGCGAGTATCTTAAGTCTGGCCAAAGTCTCGTAGTTCTTGGTAGTACTTGTGCACTGAAAATAAAAGTGTACAAGAAAAGGTGATGTTTTAATAGGTTCTTGTAGAAAATTTATAAAGGTTTCCTTGATAAAATCAAATATGAAATTGCTGACATCTTTTAGGTTTTTTTTACTTTTTGAAAAGTTTGAAATAAGTCAAAGATCGCTTTGATCTTTAAGTTAAGCTTTTTTCCAATTGTGTACTCAGCGGCCTGCCCTTTGCGATTCGCTCGTTTGGTTTATGGCCTCTCAGGTTGAGTTTTTTACACTATTTGTTTGTTGTCTATATGGAGGAGCCAAACCGGTTGCCAGGTTCATAGGCGATGCTTTTGTGTGTTGAAAGTCGCCTGAGTCTGCGGCTATAGCTTTTGTATATATATATATATAGTATCTCTCTCATTTATTGCTGCACTTCTAGTTTTGATTTGTTTGTGTTCTTTTCAAGCCAAAGAATTTATACTTGCAATTGGTATTGTGGGGGTTATCAGTTGGCAGATCGTGGTGCTGAATCAGTTAGAACTTGTTCTCAGATCGGATGTTTATGGTTGCAGTGTTTTGATTGTGGGATGGCTAACCTGATCCAAAGTTTATTGACTTTAGGCTTTTCGTTAAAAGAGAAGCTACAAGTTGTATAAAAAGATAATGTCTTACAAAGTTAACTTATTTAGTAAGCTTCTACCAGCTTATGGTCCATGATCGCAACCTTTGGCTGAGCTGCGGCCTACTCTTTCGTTTGGCTGTCAGCCAGTTAACGTATTCCTCATTCTGCAAGTTGCCGTAAAAAGACTTCAATTGCCAACTGTCAACTAGTGGGGAAACTGGTTAAACTTTTTGCTACAAAAAAAAAAAAAAAAGAAAAAAACGAGAAAAAACTGAAACTAAAATCAAAATTGTTTGACTGTTGCATTTGGTGCACATTTCTGCCGGTTTCTCTTTATGGCCAAGACAAGTTCTTGACACTCATCGGGGCTCACGAAATGGCTGAAGACGCCCACAGATATTCAATATATATAGATAAATGTATATAAATGTATCTATAGGTAAGGTATAGTGGCCATAAGCTGGCTACTTAAGCCAAAACATGGGCTCAAAGAGAGATTTATTGAATCATAGATTTTGGTTTTGGTTGCAGCCGAGTGATTCGACAAACGCAGAAGAAATCAACGAAGCGTGCCACTTGAAAACATGCAACATGACCAGTCAGTCTGAACACCCCCTGAATATGTACAACTCCCCCCTTTGGACCCAATGGGCATTCATTATTATTAGTTTGCCCACATAATAAATGATGTAAAAAGTAGGCGTACAAACTCGCAATTCACCTCAAAGATAGGCGTCAAAGTGGGTGGAAGTGGCTCTAGAGGGGCTGCGAAAGAAATTCAAACTATAAAATAATTACACAAAAATAGTTTTCGCTGCGCACTGTAATTTTTAACATTTATTTTTAAGTTTTTTTCCTTTTTATTTGTTAGTAAAAATGTGTTTTGGAAATTGCTAAATGGCAGGCAAGAAAGTGTTTTATTTCTTTAAATTTTTTGCCTCTGTTTACCTCTTTTGGCAATCTTTTTTCGAATTCGCTGGTTGTTGGTAATGAGGAATCAAATAGTTTGTTAATGAGTGTATATATCTTACACACTTTCAGCCATTTCTTAAGTTTGGCTGATTTGGCAAGAAAAGTTTTAAGAAATTAGGTTTTTGAAAAGGAAGTTTCATGGTAAAAGTTATTTATTGGGTCTTACCGGCAAGACAAGTGAATTGATATCAATACACAGATATCTTAGATTTAACTACTTACTAATATATATTTTAAAATTGGCTTGCATGCACGATCTTTTGGAGTAATCAACAGTTTTATTTGACTTTCATTATGTAAAGTAAACCATTGCTCGAAACTCCATTTTTAATTCGCTGTAAAGAGTATTTACAGTTTTAACTGCACTTTAAAAGCCGTCTGCTACCTTCGCTATCTATCCATCAAAATGAACAGCAGCGTGCACGTGCTTTGAACACCTAAGGATACCTTTAAGATGGTAGATATGCCAGCGACAAATTTAACTACTACCAGTTGCCAGTTGGCAGTTGGCAAACCATAATCGTTTAGATGCTGTTTATTCCTCATAATGATCGTGCTGGCCAGATTTGGGGGATCGGTAGCCAGGAGATTGAGATTGGAGGTAGGAGACTACTGTGCGCAGGTAAATCAAGGTGTGTTTGGCTAAGAAAACAGAAAAAAAAAACAGACTGCCAAGCTAAACAGCAATCCGCACTTCAAACTCACTCTCCATTGGGGGCTGGTACAATGTGTCTGGGTGTCTTGGGGTAACTGCTTTCGAGTATTTTACGTTAATTTACGCCAAAACTGTTGTGGAGATTTTTTTCGCAGCACAGTTGGGGTTGTTGTTTTCGGTTGTCCGCTTTCAGTTTCATTATGAGTGGAAAAATCATGCAATGGCTATGAGTTTTCTTGGCCTGGCAATTGCACACTTGGATTTCGAGTTGCAACACCCATTTTGTATCGTTACTCTGCGGTTAATCATATTTCTCTCCGACTGTCTGTTGTTAAATTAGCAGCTGCACTGAGACAGAAACGAAATTTAGTGTTTTCTATTATTTTTTAGGATTTTTATATATTTTTTGGGGTTTTCTCTGTCTTCCAGTAGATAAGTGACGCTTCTTTTCGTAGATTTTTCGTTTTGGGGTCTTTCGGGTTTTACGCGCTTTGCTGACTTTGCTGTGCGATTTTCCTAATTGGATTTTCCGTCTTGGCAAGCACTGTTGCCATGTCTGTTTTGAGTACGCTCTGATTTGGCATTGTCCAAAGTGTCAATTGGATTGGAGAACTGTTTCGTAACCAGAGTGCAAGTGTCGACGAGAAAGTGTCGAACGGCAATAATTAAAGCCAAAATAATAATATTAATTTAATGATCTTCACACTGTTGATTACGTCTTCGATGCGATGGCCAATGATTTATTATTATTTTTATGGCCAGCAGTCGAAGTGGCTTTCAATTTGAATTTATTTGGCTGCCTTACTTTATGTGCGGACACTCAAATCGATAGAAAACCATTCGTTTGTCCATAAAATAGATTCAAAATCGGAATACAGCTGCCGAGATGCCGGACCAGCTGAGCTATATTATCATTTGTGTTTTTACTCTGGCGCTTTCTCTTGCCAATTTTTTTGTAGCGCTTTTTACGAGCCCACATTTGCAGAAGAGGAAAAACAGTTTATACATATTGTTTCTTGTTTTTCCATAATTTCTTAAATGAATTCTTGTTCACAAACATTTTTTTAAACATAAATAATAGCAGGATATCAGAAAATTTATGGAGTTTTTTTTAGAGGGGCTTGGTTGTCTTTGGCAGCTGCATTCACAAACATAAACAATATGAGGAAACCAAGGAAGCTCCGCGTAAATATAAAATGAAAAATTGCCCAAGCATGCAAATTATTAAAAGAAACAAAAAATAAAAAAAAATATATTGGCGTGATTCACAGCCAAGACGATCTTAAGATTTGTGAGCCTTGCAAAATGTTTCCCAGTCCGTCGACACTTTCGATTTTTGCCTTTTTGTGTTTATAAGCGGGGGCAATATCTGCGATTAAGCTGTAAATTTATTGCTTGTCTTTAGCTTTTCCTTTGTTGCTTTTACGTTTTGATAATCAGTTTTTGATTAACGCAGTCATTGTGAGTTGCTTTAAACTATAATTAATATGTTTTTCATTGATATATCATTAAAACTGTTTTTAATTTAGCTTAAATTGTTTGTTTTTAATGTTAAACTAATAGAAATATTCGGAATTCTAGACACAGTCATGTTTGTTGTTATGAATAAAGCCCTGAAAGTGATAATAATTTGGATTCCCACATGCTATCAGCCCACTGACTCATTTGAACGCCCCCAATTACTGATTAGGCAAGTTGGTATTCCGCAGATTTGATTTACCCTTCCCTTATCAGTCTTATCATAATATTTACGCTGCAGACACGCACCTCGATAAGGTAGAGATGGTATTAGATGGGGAATTTCTACCGCTTTTATTTCGTAATTTAAATGTGTATTTTGTTTGATATTAGGGGACAGTAAAATGTATGTAAAGTGATAAGAAAGAGGGGTTTCTGGTGGGAATAAGGTCGGCATAGAAGTGACATAAGTGGGTCGTGAAATTGGGGTGGCAAGAGAATTATGATGTTTATTTTCTTGATTGATTCATAAACTTTTTATTAATATCATTAACACTTCTTGTCGTTACAGAAATCTTCATGTTTGCTAAGAACATATAGTGAGAAACTGTCCATCTCAAGAAAGTGTAATTTTTAGGTAAGCAACTCTTAATTCCTATATCTTATAGTATAGGAAAAAGATTCTCTTTTCCGCATCTCAGAACTTCTATGCAAATAATCTGTCAGACATTAAACTGCTTTTCAAGCGCATTTAAAACTGCGCGATAATCAAATTCAAATAGCTGCGCACTGAATAACAAGTGAATCCATTCAGACTAGACTCATTTTTCTCCATCTGACTTTATCTTGGGCTAGGAATTATGTATGCATAGATAATTGCAATTTATTGCATTCTTAAATAAATCCAACAAATATTGAATTAAAAACGCATTTCTATGACTTCGCTGGCGTCGCAATATGTTTCCAGGCGATAATATGGCATGGCAGCTTTGTTTATTATTTTCTGACCATTTCTCGATATCAAATCATTTATATTTCAATGTAAAATTCTAGAAACAGTAGGCAACGAGGCATTGTGATAAGGAAAAATGCTATTAAAAGCTGTGGAATGAAACAGAAATCGTTATGGGGAAAAAATGCGTCATGAAATATTTCCTGTTATAAAAAAAAAACATTCTTAATGCACTCAACTCAACTATATAGAAAAGTGTCTAAGACCTGACACTCTAGATTAGTTCTTTGTGTCAAACTTCTCATTCGAAGTACCTTGGTCTTGTACTTTATTACAACGTATCATTTGATACCCCTTGCTATCGATAAGATGTTTCGTAAAGCTGAAAATCACATTCGGTGAGCCGTCAAACAACCTTGCATGGCCACACAAATTGCAAAGCGAAATCGATTTCGAATTACAAAATAATACAGAACTGTAAATGGAGGCAATGAAATGGAATTCAAGACGAGACGGACGGACGTTTTCATGATGCGTGAAAGTCAACCTCAGCCTTGTGCGGCTAGGAAGCGAAATAAATCGCAACAAGCAAACAAAGTGAAATGTAAACATCGTAAAACACGACTACACTCTATACTATACTATATATGTGAGTACAATAAAATCGAGCTAAACAAGAGCAGTCAATGAGCGACTTTTTCATGCTTGCCGCGCTAAATAAGATCGGTTTATAAAAAACGAGAAACATCAAAAAAATAACACCAATTTGAACTTATCTTAGATGGCGCTCTCGACTCTTTTATTCCTTTTTTGTTGAGTTTTGACTGTTTTTTGTGTAAAAAATGCTTCCATGTCAAGTTTTTTGAGCTCTTGTTGGCAAGGTTATTGCACACGAGAAGCGATCGTAAAATATATATACAAGTATATATATATAAAAACAAACCGCAAAAGAATAAATTTAAAGGTAAAACATGCGATAATTAAATATTTGATATGTCAGCTGGTCGGCGGCAAACTACAAAAAGTTGCGGGGAAATTGTGAAAAGAGGGTAGCAAAGATGGATAGAGTTCCCCAGACCGCACCTTTTTTCACAGCTGTTGGTTTAGGTTCATACGAAACTTCCGCCAATTCCCGGATTCAGAATTATCACAAGTGCAACGCCCATAGATTGTACTTATGGCCATCGAAATGCAGTCGCTGCATTTTAATCAAGTGCCAAGACAGACAAGACACCTCCAATCCAATCCCAAGGCTAGTGTTTGGCATTCGCCAGGCATTTGCATTTTCTTTTTGGTCCCACTCTTGGAGAAAAATTCCATTGGCCGTAAATGGGGGAAAATCGAGGGAAAAGACAAGATAAAAGCCGAGTAGACAAGTGTAAACTATTCCGTTCACTAGCATTATTATGGCTAATGGCCATAATGAATATGAATAATTATTCACGCCAATATCGTGTCTCGAAGGCCTTTTCAATATGCAAAAGATAATGCCCGGAAATGGGTAAGGCCTAATCATCTTCGAAATGGTTTCTGGTTATGTTATGGATGATTTGTGAAGGATGTATAGAAGGACAGCTTATATGAAGTGGATTTTTTAAGAGTTTAAATTCTAATAAAAATGTATCATTTAAAGATGTTAAGATCTTCAAACCCACTAAGCTCATTCATTCTGTATTCCTCATTCCTCTATAAACTAATTTATATAAATTAGTGCATGTTCTGAGCGCTTTTGTCATCTGACAAGCCGACACCCTACAAACTGCATAGTCTAACTTTATTGTAAGCCAATCCAGCGAACAATAGCCTCATCTCTCTGTAGCCCACTTTAAGGAGAGAAAGAAAAGGAGAATAGCCGCGTATTTCTGCCTCTATCGCGCCCTCGCATACCCAAATTTATTATCATGTAAAACTTTTGTGCAACATTTTTTGTGAACAACAAAAGCTGGAAAATCGCAGCTACTGTGCAGCTGTTCGGCCGCTTTAAGCTCTCCGCCCCTTCAATTGTTCTAGTTGATAATTTATTTGAATATTTGGCATAATTATTCCGAGGCAAAAAACCAAGAAACAAAAGACTGAAAACCCGTTATATAATAACGAATATTTCACAAGACCAACAACTATTACGGGTATCTGTAAGATACGAAATTGCACTGACAATTGGGCAAATGAGTATTGTTTACTATATGATTTGGGAAGTGGTTCAGTCGGGCTTGACTTGACATTGAGAATGGATTTAATGACCAGATAACCAGTAATATTTTTTTTTTTTACTAACAAATGAAAAATGATTGTCGCTAATTGAGGTTTGAGTTTGAGCAGGGGAAAGGAAACCAGCTTGGTTCTAACTTTAGACTCTGAGAGGGGAAGATAAATGATTTTGATTTAACTTCAGCATTGAAGATTGTCCGTTTAAGGCACATGCATACACAGACTCCGGCTTGGCCAATCTATTAACTCTATATAGCGAAATGAAAGCCCACTCTATCGAACGAGAATGGGATCGAGATCGGTCTTCTATAATTTTGTAGTTTGCGCCTCTGGCTCTTCTCTTTGTTTTGAGATCTGAGATCTCTCCGTGGTGATCGTCGTGCGTCTCGAATCAAAACGCGCATAAATTTCTATGCTTTTGTATATATAAAAACCCCTCTCTCCCTCTTCGGAAAACAGTAGCGGCATCCATTAATCAAAAGGCACTACGGTCTATGAGCCAACGCGAAGATCGCATATTAGTTACACTTTAGCGGGGCGCCCAGAAATCTGATGGCGGGTTATTAGTTCGCCTGAGTTATGGATGCAAAGTATCTTGGAGATTGATCGCTTACATGATGAGTGGGGGCTAGATGCGGAGTAACTTGAGCTGACATAAGACTCGGGGCTTGGCTGGGTTCAAGGTAATGGCTTAAGAAAAGAACTCTGAAGCGAAGAGGCTAATGGATTGAGAAAAGTGGTCTACTAAGCTGGGATTAAATAGAGTTCTGATGAGTACACATGTGGTATAAGATTCAAGAGAGACTGAGTCATCGCTCTGATTGCCAAAAAGATTGTAAATTTAATTACTAATATTAATTATAGTTATTATTCTTTAGCTTCATACACCACAAATGTCAGAGAATCATAAAATGAAATGCCTTGTTATTTGATATTCATCTTCAGTTAAGCTTTAAGTCATTTTGGCTGCCCATAAATATAACCATCTTCCATTTATGACTTATTGTATGTCTGAAAATTCTTTTATATTCTGATTTTCTATCTCAATGAATCCTTTTTTTTTTTTCATTTTGCAAGGCCAAAACGAATGGCTGAATAAATTTGTTTGCATTTCTAGTCGGCTTTGCGTCAGCGCTTCATCATGGGAGAGGAGGAGAAATGTCAACAGCGTTTCTGCAATTTGATTCGCTCACATTGGCAAATTTATGCAAATTTTTATTTATTAAATAAACACGCAAAGTGCGTGTCATCAGCTGTTACACCAGAAGGGAGGATTGGCTGTGGGTGGCGTGGAAATTGTCGCTGCTATACGTTTTCTTTTTTGGGGCCAACGAACGACAACTACAACGACGAGGACAATGACAATCGCTTGGGTTGTTGATTGGCAATTTGTTGTAGTAACTACCCGAGTTTAGTTTTGTGGGAGGCGTTCTAAGGGTGCTAATGAACTTGAGGTTAGAGCTGGAGAAAGATATGAAAGGAGGTCGTTGGAAGAGCGATAATGCGTAAGAAATTGTTATGGAGTTCATAAAATAGATATCTTGATGGAGCAGCCTAGATATTAGGAACTATATTTCTATATTACCTTAAATTATCTAATATTTAACCTTAAGTATCTGGTGTTTCCATATCGAATTTAGATATTATATCACATTCTCCTTGTCCAACATCAAAGTTAACGAAGTTGGCAAACTTTGTCATCAGTCTGTGAAATTCTGTCTGGCCCTCGCCAAGTTGCGATTGCTGTGGTATCATATAACCACTTTGAGCCAAAGTAACTTTTACTGACTGTGCCCCCAACCTCTATCAATTATAAAAGATACTGCGCCACTGAGCATGAAATTAGTCTGTCTATAGAGGAGAACTCCCTACGCCCTCCACGCACATGTGCCTTCTCTCCGAAAAGTAACCCTGATTTTGATGACAATTTGCTGTGGTTAGTACTCGATATTATTCTAGCTATATTATAGACTCTTTTCCATATTAATTTATGCATTTTTTGTTGATTGTCTTGCTGCGTTACAGTTGACAAGTTTTGCCTGGTGGTGGGTGTAGGCAGTGGTTGTTTATGCGGTTCAGGTAGAATAAGTACCACAATTTATTATCTCGTACATGGAAAATGCGTTGTAACGCAACGACTTTGATTAATTTTAATAGCCTTGCCAGAACAAGTTGTCTCGCTGGGTTGTAATTAATAATTATTATTATTTGATTGGTAATACTGTCTGGCATTTATCTAACCGTTGTCTGTATGCTTTTTTGCAGACGTCTTGAGAAATTGCGCAAGAGTAAACCTTTTTGTTTTCGGACAAGGTGAGTTGAACTTTGGCAGTCCGTTTGACTGGAGTGTCATGTTGCCCGAAAGGGAATCGAAAAATAATTAATTGAATTTTGTTCGTGTGTGTGGGGGGGGAAGCATATCGAATGGCTAATAAAGTTCTTGCGCAAGTCAGAGTGTTTCGAAATAGCCAGCATGGGTCAATAATCTCCCATTAGCCTAAAAAATCAGACCTTATCTAGGCGGTACGTCTGCGCTCCATTTGCTCTACTAACCTAGTGCCATGAAACCGATTGATTGATATGGAATCAGCACTACACCCACTAATCATTGTAAATTCCTCAATAAATAGAAGTGCTACAGAAAAGAGATACTGTAAACCAAATGCATAATGCAACCTAAAGTGCAACTGCCAACAAAGGGAGTTATCAATATGTGCCGCAGTTTATAAAGTGTCCGCCTCTTTGGAGTCAACAAATCGGTGGGTGACCCACTTCTAAGTGGCAGCAACAGCAACGACAACGACAACGCGTCGCGACTCTCTAATCAGCCAGTAACTTTGCGGCTTGATAAACACATGAAACGCAGATAGAAAGCGAATAATAAAAATAATAATAAAAAAAGAACAATTACAAATCAGAAGCTCTGCTTCGCCTAGAGGGAGTGTAATAACCCCGGGCAGAGTTTTCCCCCGTTTCCTGTATGCGATAAAAAAAACAATGGGTATGGCACTCCCAATATGTGTCAACTTTATTGTCTGCCAACTGGCAGATACTTGCCACAAACCTGGTCCTTTGTCCCAGGTCCTTGGCATTTTCAACCCAACCATTTCCATAAGCCTTAAAGTTTCTGTTTGAAAGTTTTTCTCTAGGATATTTTTTCTTAATTAAAACTTTTTTGCACATTATATGGCTCAAGACTTTGGCAATATTTTCTTTTTATTAGTGACCCGCTGTCAAGTCAGTTTATGGTTAACTTTCTGATGGACTTAGTGTTAAGGCGGCGCCTTAAATGGAAAACAAGGGAAAGCGTCAGAATGGGCGTGAAAAGTGGGAGGTATAAGTCTACAAGTAGAGATGATAGCTCATGTATTTCCCTCTCTATTTTATTCTAACCAGAAATGAGTTGATGTGTTTCTTTTGTTATTCCGCACAATTCGCGCGCGGCCAACCTGTTGGGAATTTCAATGAGTTCGTTTCCCTTTCGGTAGTTTTTAGTCAGTTGTTGGTTGGTGGTCGGTCTCTCAGCTTTAGGCCAAAAGCAGACTTGTGTAGAAAGACAGCAGAAAAAAGAACGAGCAAGGCTAGAAACATGTTGCAAAAACCTAAAACAGAACCTGTTACTGCTTACTCATGTTTGCGGCTATCTCAGCGAAAGAAATTATTAACTTTTGGTTACCTAATTACTTTTCTTGTCATTTTTTATGGATTTATGATAGGTTTTTATGAAATCAAATTTTGTTTATATTATTTTATTAATTTATGAAAGCCATCAGCTTGCGGCACACAAAACAGCTTTGGTAACAATTAAATTTTTATATTGCCAAACAAAAGTTTATTGAAAAGGTAGCTTTCCTCTTAAATCTGCTGCGAATGTAATAAACTGCCATTTAATTTTCCACTTGATTAGTAGCTTAAGGATTTTATTTAATTTATCGACATTTGTCTGTCCATCTAACATCCAAGCACTCAAAGTGAAATTTTGGCGCCCCCACTTAAAAAACTCGTTAGCCAAATGGGTAACATAGCCAAGCTGCGATAAAAATAAAAAATAAAACAAAAAAGCTTTTACCTTATATAGCTAATTGTTATTTAGTGCGACCGGTGAAGCCACCAACACCTGAAGTTTTTGGACTTGCCTCATGAATAATCCAATGATGAGGCATCGGTGCATATTCATGATCAGATTTAGTTCAGGTTCAACTAACTTTATTACGTCACACACACACGCACACACACACTCTTCGACACTTAACTGATGAGAAAAGTTGTTGACATCCAATGTTAGTGAGCTTGGCCGCCTAATCGATTTGCCCTTTTCGGTAAGGAGTTAAGTTGAGGTTCTCTCTGTGTCCATCAAGAGGCTATTCTCTCGTTTTGTACTTTTTCTTGGGGCCAAGTTTTATGAGCCAATTACATGCAACACTGGGCACAAGAACACACACACTATTCGAGCGGTGAAATATCACATCCATCACATGCTAAGCTCGCATCATGTAGCAACTATTATGTGAATGCGATTCGGCACGGCCCCCACGTCCTTCCTCTCCTTTAGAGAAAACCTTAACGCATGCAACCTATGAGTATGTATAGCCGTCTATCATTAAACTGTCGTAAATCACAAGTAATTGACATTATACAACAGCCGAGCGCAACGGATCGGATCGGTCAAACGATCAGCAGACTGGCTGGCAGGCAGGCATGCAGGCAAATAAGCAACAATTACCCCAAGACAACAAACATTTTTGCTCAAAAAACAAAATAAAAACCTACACGTAGCAACAATTAAGCTAAAGATAAAACATGGAAATCGTCATTGAGACAAATGCTGAGATAGAGAAGTGGAGATGCTTGAAAAAGATTCTTAGTAATGAGTTATGAAGAAATGTGTGATCTTTTCATTAGATATTTGTTTTCACTTTCATATTTACCCTTTACTTTACTATAGTATAGTTTGTTAAGAACCCCTTTTTAAGATTAATCGGAATCTTCTCTGTTAGTTCCCAAACCCCCATCCATCCATTTCATTCCCACAAATCCCCACCAGATAAGAACCCATTTCTAAAAAAGTTCGACGTGTTGGCTCTGGCACCCACCTGCCCATCCAACTCTTCAACAATTGGCATAGATCTCTTGAGATTGCAATGCTCGAATGAAATGCACAATTGAAATGCAGCGAAACAATAAGCGAATGCAACTATATATTTAGACTGACACACTAAGCGAAAACCCAAGTCAACCCACATTTTGCGAGAAGATTACGAAATCCGTTGGCCGTTGGCTATGAATGTGCCACGCGTTGATTCTTTATAGAACCGATTGAGACTGAACGTTAGATAAGATGAAGGGAACAAACTATAAATAAAGATATATACCATCGAAATGTTAGCTAATAGCTGCAAAAATGACGTTGCAATTGCATTCGAAGGTCTTCTTGGCTAACAAGTGGTCAAGGCTTTCAGTTCTGAAGTCATGACTGGTTAGAAAATGCATTAAAAAACGCACGATTATATGCGTCATTATTTTTTTGTTTTTGTATTGCAATAAAGTTATGTTTGTTTATGATTATTGTTTGGTTAATAAACAGGAAATTGCAAATCAAGGCGAGGAAAAGTAACGTTGTATGCTATCAAGTGATTGCAAACAAAAAGCTCAGAATTACTAATAAGTTATGATACTTTTTCTAATATATAAGATTCTATTAGACAGCATTGATATTATCGTTTGTTAACTGTTGAGTTGTTAAGTCTTCAATTTTATAACAAAACTTCATAAACTTTTATAGTTTTTATCTTTTATTTATAGTTGCCTTCGCCTCACTGCTCATATTTCCGAATCTTAATGAATCTTCTTTCCTTTCCTCCCCAATTACATCGTTTAATTTATGCAAATTTTCAATTTTTATACGCTTCAGCAACTTCAAATGACTCTCGAATTCTTAAACTCGAAAGTATTTTTCGTTTTATGGATTTTAACGAGAAAACCGTTGAAGAAACACTAATAGTGTTAAACCGTTTCATACTGGATGTTGTCGTTGTGAGGAGCCCATAGAAGGGCTATAAAAAATGGGCTTTTTTTTATTGTTGCAAAGGAGTTCTCTGCGGTACAGCTGTTCGAGGTTCAACGCTGGTCAGGAATGTAATTACACTGCGCATTAAAATTAAGCAACATAAACTACAGACAACAACATAAACAAGCTAAGGCAGAACTAATTAACATTCCCCTCGCTTTCGGGATCCAATGGAGTTGTGCAGCATGTGGCATATCCAAAAGTGCAGAAGCGCTGAGGGGGGTGCTAGTCTCTGACAAGTGATATTAAAGTTCAGATATAGATAGCTAGAGATTACTATATATAGAGAGAAAATGTTGATAGTTTTAAGATATAAATGTAAAAATAGTCAGTGATGAGATGCTCTACAGAGCTCCAAAATAAATCTACAAAATTCCAAATAAATTTTAATGACAACGTAAAGCAGAAAAAAGCACTTTACAAACCACTTCCTGACACAAGAATGCCATAATATTAATGGATGTTGTAATGAAAGTAAAAAAGTAGAGCCCTTTTAGTTCTCCCCCATCTACGCCACTGTTCTGGTGGTCATTTACAGTCGGGAAAACTGATGGGGGCAAGAACTGCAGTCAAAACTCCGTTCGTCACGGTTTAACGGCTCTGACAACTCCCCTTCGAGTTGACTGGAATTTGTTCCAAATAGAAAACGCTGTTTCCACTTTCAGAAGAATGGAATTCGAATTGTTCTCCCCTATTTCGATATTGTTATTGTTATTTCCCTTCTGCTTCATTTGTTCCATTTTATTTCCCAGCTATTTTGTTCTATTGTCTATCGGAAGTTGTGCTCGTTGTTAATTTATGCGTTTTGTGGAAGTTCCCCTCTGCCCCTCAGAATCCGACAGGAAATGCAATTAGTTTTAGGGGTTTGCTCTCTCTCTGCATTTGGAAATCTGTTCGTTTTTGTCAGTGTTTCGTGGAGTGTCATAAATTGGCGGCGGTTTTGTTTATGTTGCAGCTTCGACTGTGGCTGTATGTGTGGCCCCACTGGGTTTCTTTTTTTTATTTTGTGCCACATGCTGCTTAAGTTCTCTTTTTGAATGCAAATGTGTTCGGTGGCCCTTAGGCAACTTAATGACATTTTTGACAAATTTGTTGGAAATTTACAACTTGACTACTACGGCTGATAGATGGTTGTCTAAGTTCTTAAGGAAATGCAGAAAACAGATGGTGAAAATAACCTAAAGGAAGCTGTTGACGTAATGAATTGTTAAAAATCGATCATTACTGGATAGCCAATTATGGCAAT